CTCGTGTGACCTGCATTGACCGTCCCTTGACCTGCATTGACTAGAGCTGACTGCCTGTTGACCCGTGCTGACCACCTGTTGACTTGCATTGACTGCTCCCAGGATCTCCCTAACCAGCTCCTGCATCAACTCCTGCACGCGAGGCCCCAGTACCTACAGCCCTGCCATGCCGCTCGCCCCTTGTGTGCCACCCAACCCTCCTGCTCCTCTTGCCCCTGCTGTCGCCCCAGTTTCCCCAACTCCCCCTCCCACCCCTTGTACTCTCCTCCCTTCTCCTGCCGTGTCTACTACTACTGTACCTGCTGCTGCCGTTCCCACACCAACTCCACCACCTCCTGCCACACCCCCACCGTCTGCCACACCTCCACCTCCTGCCACCTTTCCCACTGCCCCCGTTTGCCCCATCATTCCCAATCCCCTCGAAACGATTCCCGTTTCCCCCATCCGTGTTCCCCCCATTACCGTTCCCACCATGCTCGTCCCCCCTCTTCCCCTTGCCCCCATTCCTGTACTCCCCATGCCCACCCCGTTGTTCCGAATCCCACCGTTCCCACCCCCAGCGTCTTCACCCCCGCTGTTCCCACCCCTGCCGTTCCCAACCCCGCCGTTCCCAACCCCGCCGTTCCCACCCCCTCCGTTACCACACCCCCGCAGCCCCCCCCCCACCACATCAGCACCCCTAGCCACACCTGGCAGCCCCCCAAGCTACTAGTCTGTGAGGGGCGCATTCCCCCCACCAGCAGCGGCAGCTTGAATCTCGGCCAGCTGCGTATCGACGGCTTGGGCGTGGGCGCGGCGGACAAAGAGGGTCTGCAGGGTGGGGCTCATGGCCTAGAAGGCGTGGGCGTCAAGGGGGCACTGCAGGAAGGCGTCGATGGCCGCTACGCGCTGCTCGTCTGTCAAAGAGGGGAGGGCAGCTGGGAAAGTCGGCCTTCAACAACCGTCCTGCTCGGTCAGAGCAACCACAACGGCAAGAAGGTAGTAGTAACAACAAGAAGACTTTCTCAGGTAAGAATTATCGGAAGACTGTTGCTGCAAAGAAGAACAACCAGAAACCGGAACAGACTTCTAGACCCGCAAAGACCAGCAACGGCAATAAGAGTTCCCCTGGTCACGGGAAGGAGAGAACTAATGACGAATGGCCAAGGCGGCGCAGACGATGGGTCACTCCTACGCTAAGACAGCAGGTCGCAGTGTTCACCACCCCAAGCCTCGGAATCCTACAGCAACAAAAAATGGCGGAGGTTCCAGCCACGGAAAAACCGCTCGATAGTAGCAGACGAGGCTCACTCCTACGCACTGATCCTGTTCAGCTGACTTACTGGATCTTAGCTGCGTTGCCCCGTGGCATTCAGAATTTCACCAATCATGTGTTCTCTCGTGACGAACTATATCTTCTGTCTCAAGTTCATACCTACACCCACCACCCGTTCCATTTCCAGTGTAGAGGATGGATAATCTTCATTTGTTAGAATATCTGTTCGGAGGAGATAATCTTGTTTCTGATTATCCGGGCTATAAACTCCACAGGAGAACAAACTGGAACTTGCCGCTGGCTTCAGCTCAGATCAAAACGGCCTTATCGGTCTTCAAAGACTCAGTCATTAAAGCCAGAGTCTCATGTAAACAAAACAGCATCAACAGGAAAATAGTTGATGCTACGTTACCTAGTTAGTGCAGGCCAAGTTGTCAATGGTTTGGTGAGAAACTCAACCACTTCATTGCCCCACGAGCAATTGCAGAACAAGTTTTGCGTACATGCGACTTTCAATGAGTTTGGAGTATTTTAGGTTTGGCTATAAGGTTCCGATGCACCCAGCGATTTGAGTTCGCTTTGCACCCCTCGCTGCACCCCTCTTCAAACTTTTCACCTTGCCAGCCAATCACAGCCAACTTTTCACCGTCAACTGCCAAACCCTTACATTACATGTGACCTTGGTTTTAAGGACATTCGCAAATTACAAATTCAGACTGGACCCCGAAAGAACTATGTTCCTACACTTCAATGTCTGGCTAAAAGCACGAATCTAACTTGGTAAACCTACACATAAAAACCTCGGATTGACTTTGATGTGTCGAGACTTCTATAGAGATCAATGCCTACAACATCTTCTTAATGCTAATGTCTACAAAGAATACTCTGTTAGAAGATGTGAGAACAAGAATGGTTGGATTAGGTGAAGGGAGGGGGGTACAAGGAGAATGTCAAGATGATTTCTGTACCCCTCGCTGCACCCCCCATCAAACTTTTCACCTCGCCAACCAATCACAGCCAATTTTCAATGTCAACTGCAAAACACTTGTATTACATGTGACCCTATATTTTAGGGCCATTCGCGACGTACAGATTCAGACTCGACCCCAAAAGAACTCTGTTCGTACACTTCAACGTCTGGCTAAAAACCCAAATCTAATGTTTAAACCTGCACATAAAAACCTCGGATTGACTTTGATGTGTCGAGACTTTTATAGAGATAAATGGTTATAACATCTTCTAAATACTACTGTCTACAAAGAATACTATGTTAGAAGATGTGAGAACAAGAATGGTTGGATTAGGTCAAGGGAGGGGGGTACAAGGAGAATGTCGAGATAATTTATGTACCCCCTATAGCTAGCCCCTATACAGCCTACACACAACTAAGCATGTATGTTTTGACACACCCCCATAGGCAAAGCGGGGGATAGCCAGAGGAAGCAAGGGTCACAAGTTCAGTCTAGAGAAGAAGCAAAGCAAAGCAAAGCTCAAGGTGGATCTCAAGATCACCACACATTCTGAGCACAAGCAAGCGACCACAATGCCAGTTTACATGCACTGTTCATAATAGCAATTGCAGTATACTGATCACAACCTAGCAAGGGCAAACATGCAGATATAATCATGTATATCAGAGTACAACAAGTGCAAGGCAAGACAAAAGATAAGCAAGTGAGAAAGAGTGGGCACAAGCTTAAGAGCAGTGCAAAAACGCTGATGATCACTAGACCCAAGGGCCTTGTTGAAGACATCAGCAGTATTGGCCTGTATGGCCATGTAAGGAAGACAAAGCTGACCATGCCACTGCGGCTCTCGTGTGAGGAAGTAACAGGGAGCAATGTGCTTCATTCTGTGCTCCAGTCTCTAGTTCTGACACAAGGCAATCATGGCCTTGTTGTCGACGTACAAACTGGAGGAGAATGAGGCCGCTCACCCAAGTCGGTCAGCAGGTCGAGGGAGCAAAGCCAAGATCCGCAAGAGTAATCCTCAGTGTGTCGTGCCACTCGTGGGGCGCCTGTTGTAGGTCGTAGACAGGTCGCCGAAGACTCCACCGGGTACCCTTACGAAACGACTCAGTGAAGCCATGTGGACGGCGCAACAAGATAGCCTCGTGAAGGCTGCCCTGCAAAAAGGTTGTCGAGAAGTCAATGGAGTGCAGCTCGTAGTCGTGCTGTGCTGCAACGTGCAGTAGCACCCGAAGAGTGGTCATCTTTGAGGTGGGGGAGAAGGAAGAAAGAAGTCAACCCCCTCACGTTGACTAAAGCCTCGTGCAACGTAACGCGCCTTGAAGGCAGGCGGAGAACCCGGCGACCGCTTCACCCTGAAAATCCATATGCCATCGACGATGTTTGCCCCAGGTGAGGGAACCTCATCGACATAGGTGCCTGTGGACTTCTAGGAAGCCATCTCTGCGTCTATGGCTGTCTGCCAGTGAGAGGAGTACGGACCCGTGGTCGTCTCTGCGTAAGTGCGTGGGGTCGGGATGTCCAGTGCATCGGAATCTCCCTCAGGGCAAAGTAGCGTGGACACGAGACAAAATGCAGCGGACGCGAGGCACTCCAGCTCAAACTGCCAGTCCTCAAGATCTTCATAGCCAAAGGCAAGCTCACCCCCCACGGACGGAGGACAAGAAGAGTCAAAGACAAGAATTGCAGCGTAGTCAAGGCGGCACAAAGCGGCAAAGTCAACAAGCTCAACAACTAAGGCAAACAAAGCAGCAGACTCAAAGGAAGGGTCAGTCACAACTGTAGCAAGGAGACGAAACAGTCGGATAGGCAGCACGGAAAAGGTCAGACTCAGGGTCAAGAACGTGCGGAAGAGAGGATGCGGGAGGTGACGGCAGGACAACACGCTATGCAACAAAGAAAGGACGGAGTGTCATATTGTGAGTGCCCGGTACAGCCGGAGCACGAGGACGACGAACACGAGCAGGGACAGAAGCTCTAGTTGTCAAACTTATATGCTATAGTCTATGTAGGCTGTAGTGGGGTAGACAATATGGGGTACAACATTTCTAGGTTTTCCTACTTGTACCCACCTCTTTCCTAGTTCATTTATTCCTCATTTCTTCACATGGTATAGAGCAGGTTCTCTAGTGGGAACGCTTCTCAGGGCCCACCACTGAAATTGACATTTTTTTTTTCCTGATCGGAGCGGCCTTGCCCGAGGCGCGCCCCGTTGGCCGCCCTCACGTTGCCTCTCACGGCCCCTCGTGCCACTCCTAGCGGCCCCGTCACCGCCCTTCGAGGCCCCTCACGCCCCCCTTTGCGGCCCCGTCGCCGCCCCTAGCGGCTCCGTCGCCGCCCCTAGCGGCCCCATCGCCGCCCCTTTCGGCCTCGTTGCCGCCCCTAGCGGCCCCATCGCCGCCCCTAGCGGCCCCGTCACCGCCCCTAGCGGCCCCGTCACCGCTCCTCCCAGCCCCGTCGCCACCCTTAGCCGCCCCGTCGCCGCCCTTCACGGCCCCTGCAGCTGCCAAGCAGCCGAACCGCTGAGCTGCAGAGCCGCACAACAGCCGAGCCACCCAGTAGACGAGCCACCCAGCAGCAAAGCCGCTCAGCAGCCGAGCCGCCTAACAGCCGAGCCGCCCAGCAGCCGAGCCGCCCAGCAGCCGAGCCGCCCAGTAGCCGAGCCGGCGAGCCACCGAGCCGCCGAGCCGCCTTCGCGCCGCTACTGTTCCTATCGGAGCGCACCGACCCTGCCCACCAGGACTGGTGAGAGCCCTCCCTGCTAGACCACTATAGTCATGGCTACCCCCAGTGTCCTTTCCTTTGATGCTGAGGGTCGTGCTGTTAACTTTGAGGTGTGGGTCGATGACCTCCAGCTCTTCCTCCAGTGCGATAGGGCAGACGGACTCTCCCTGTTTGATCTCACCTCTTGTGCCTCTCCTCCCCCGCCTGCTACTGCTGACAGCACTCTTTGCTCACACTGGGCCAGACGTAATGCTACTGCCCGTCTTGCTGTGCGTCGCCACTTATCGACCGCTGAGCGTGCGCACTTTAGTCAGTACAAGACTGCTAGGACCTTGTACGACGCCACTCTTCCCCTGCCACCGCTGCTCTTAGCCGCCTCATGCTGCCGTACCTGTTCCCTAACCTTGCTGCCTTTCCCACAGTCGCTGACCTTATTACGCACCTTCGCACTAGTGACACTCGCTACCGCGCTGCGCTTCCTGCTGAGATCTGTACCAAGAACCCTCCCCCCATGTACATCACCCTCTACTACATAGTCACCCAGCTCCCTGACTCTCTTCGCTTAGTCAAGGACCACTTCCTCTAAGTTCGCCCCACCACACTCACCGTTGACCTCCTCGAGGAGCGCCTCCAGGCAGTAGAGAAGAGCATAGTCGTTGTAGGACACTCTCGAGGTGACTCTCGTACCCTCATCTTTGAGGGGTGCTCCCCCTACCACCTCTTGCCCTTTGTTGCTTCTGCTGCTACGACCAACCTCGTTGGTTTTGAGTCGGCCGGCGCTGCGTCTGCCCCTAGCGGGAGACGGCGCACCGGCAAGGGCAAGGGAGGCAAGGGCGCTGGAGGGGCTGGCGAGGGCAGTGGAGGTGGCGGTGGAGGAAGTGGAGGGGGTGGGGGTGATGGTGGGAGCGGTGGCGGGGTTGGAGGTGTCGGTGGCAGCAGTGGAGGCGGAGGAGGCGGTGGCGGCAGCGGTGGAGCTAGTCGTGGCTCTGCGCAGAGGAGTGGGTCCGGTGGTGGTCAACGCCAGCAGCAGCAGCGCAGTTGTGAGACCCTATCCCCTCAGCAGCTTCGTGAGTGGTACGCTGGGCGTCAACGAGGTGGGGGTACTAGTCCCTGCACCTACGTCCTCGGTACCGGCGACACCGCTGGTGAGCAGTGCGGGGGCCCGCACTCTACCCAGCGGTGCTTTAGCCACCAGTTCCCTGACGCCACTGAGATCCCTCGCTAGGGAGAGTTGTCTAGGGCGGGGGTTGCTATCTTTGATCTTGATTATGATGCTATTCTTGCTGCCATGTATGCTGTGTCTGATAGAGTTTAGGCTGACTGTTACTTGTGTGTTCCACCTGTCCCGGGCATTGAGGCTCCTGCTCTAGGTGCTAGTGCGTCTGCTGCCCCAGGTGCTGGTGAGTCTGCCCTCTCAGGTACCACGTCGGCTCAGGCCTTACACATCTTCACCCTTGACTCGGGTGCTTCCCGCTCCTTCTTTCGAGACCGCACCACGCTTACACCGCGTAGTCAGCCGGTTGCGGTCTCCCTGGCGGACCCCTCTGAGGGTCCTGTCCTTGTTAGCTTCTCCACTGTCTTACCGTGCCCAGTAGCCCCCTCTGGCACCCTGTCAGGTCTCTACCTCCCCTTGTTCTCTACGAAATTGGTGAATGGAGCTGATCTACAGGATAGGGGGGTCGACCAGTTCACTCCTGCGAGTCAGCGAGTGACCCACTGCGCGTGTGCTCGGACGGGCCGACACTTGGCCACGTTTACCCGTCGGCCAGGGTCAAGCCTGTATACACTGACTACTGAGTCTCCTCCGACTGCTGAGTCTGGTGAGGTAGCTGTATCTAGTCAGGTGTTTGTTGCAGCGTCCAGGTCTGGTCCTGGGTCTGCTCCCTGCTCGTGTCGTCTCCTGTCCCACCAGACTCTCCTTTGGCACCACCGCCTCGTCTCCAAGGCATGGCCTCCCGTGTCCTTGTCTCTGGTCTCCCCCGGTCCCTCCCTCCCTTACCTCCGGGGCCTGCCCCTACCTGCGTTCCCTCCGTTGAGGGGCGGCAGCTCGCAGCCCCTCACTCCTCCAAGTTTCCTCCGACAGAGGCTCTGCTGCGGACTCTTCACATGGACGTGTCGGGCCCCGCCTGCGTCCGCGGCCAAGGTCACGCGCGTGACTTCCTATTGGTGGTTGACGACTACTTGCGTTACACCACGGTTTTCCCTTTGTGCACCAAGGGTGACGTCACTGAGGTGTTGATCAACTGGATCCGCGCAGCTCGTCTCCAGCTCAGAGAGAGTTTGAGCTCAAACTTTCCTTTTCTACGCCGGCACTCTTAGAGAGGCGGGGAGCTTTCCTGTGCTCGTCTCAAAGCCTTCTGTCGTGCACAGGGCATCCGCCAGACCTTCCCGCTTCCGGCCTCTCCACAGCAAAATGGGATTGCTGAGCGCCGCATTGGCATGGTCATGGACGTCGCTCGTACGTCCATGATGCATGCGGCTGCCCCCCATTTTCTGTGGCCGTTTACGGTTCAGTACACCGCACATCAGCTCAACATTCAGCCCCGGGTCTCCTTGCCAGAGACCTCCGCCACCTTGCGGTGGACGGGGAAGGTTGGCGATGCATCTGCGTTTCGGGTCTGGGGATCTCGGGTGTTTGTACGCGACTTGTCTGCGGACAAGCTGTCCCCCCGAGCTGTTCCCTGCTTCTTCCTTGGCTTCCCCCCTGACGCGCCTGGTTGGCAGTTTTACCACCCCACCTCGCGCCATGTTCTGTCCTCCCAGGACGTCACCTTTGATGAGTCGGTGCCTTACTACCGTCTCTTCCCCTACCGCACTGCACCCCTCCCCCCGCCGCTGCTCTTCCTTGCGTTAGGTCCTCCTCCGGTAGACCCCCTCCCCCCTCATGGTCGTGCTCCGTCGTGTGTGTCCCAGGTAGATGCAGTCAAGCCTGTCGAGGTAGCTGTTGACACTGGTGTTGCTAAAGGTGCTCAGCCTGCGGGTGCCGGGTCTGGAGGTGCTGAGCCTGAGGGTGCTGAGTCTGGGGGTGCTAAGCCTAGGGGTGCTGAGTCCGGGGGTGCTGAGTTCGGGGGTGCTGAGTATGGGGGTGCTAAGCCTAGGGGTGCGAAGCCTGGGGGTGCTAGGTGTGCTCGTGTGGCCTCTCGCAGTGCTTCATCGAGACAGGAGCTACTCTCTCCGCGGGAGCTGGGCGAGTGGTTTGCCCGGCGCTGGAGCCGTACTGCTGGAGCTGGAGATACTACTTTTGCTGCTGGTCCTGGAGGTGCTCGTACTGGCGGTACAGGAGCTGCTTAGACTAAGGGTGCTGCTCAGGCTGCTGGAGTTAGCCCTTCTTGATGTACTGCAGGAGCTGCTGGAGATACTGGAGCTGACGGTCCTGCTGGAGTTGGTACTGCTGGAGCTACTGGAGCTGGAGCTGCTGAGGGTGTTGGCGCTGGTGGTTCTGCTGGCGCTGGTGCTTCTGAGGGTGCTGGAGTTGGCGCTGTTGGGGATGGAGGTTCTACTGGCGCTGGTGCTTCTGAGGGTGCTGGAGTTGGCGCTGTTGGAGCTGGAGGTGCTGCTGGCGCTGGTGCTGCCGCTGGGGGTACTGGTGCTCTCCCTACTGGTTCTGGAGGCGTTGGGCGGCCGCGGCCATACTTTGTTCCGCTTCTTGAGCAGGTTCTTGGTCTCGCGCCCTCTAGTGGTCCTGCTCCTCCCTTAGAGTGTCCATAGCTACAGCCCGCCTCCCCCGTGCCTGCTCCTTCTCCCTACACTGGTCCTACTGGAGGTCTTGCTAAGTGTCGTGAGCCTGCGCCTCATCCTGCATCGCCTGTTTGTGCTACTCGCACTAGTGGTCGTGCTCCGCGTCCGCGTCCTCCTACGGTCCCAGGCACACACCGGATGGCACTGCGTCCTTCCACTGCTCCTTTGCGTGTTCCGTTGCCGTCTCCTCCAGAGTCCTCTCTTCCTTTTCTTGTTGACCCGGAGTCTGACTCTCTTCGTGCTTCCAGTCCTTCTGTCACACATCTCCTGGCTGCTGTTGTGACTGACCCTTCCTTTAAGTCCACTCCTGCGTCTGTATTGGTTGCTGAGCTTGTTGACTTCGCTGCTCGCTGTTGTCTACACTACGCCGCTAGTCTCGTTGCTGAGTCTGAGTCTGTCTGTCCTCCATCCATCGAGGGTGAGTCCTTGAGGACAGGCAAGAGGAGTTCCAGTGCTTTGCACAGAGGTCCTTGAGGACAGGCAAGAGGAGTTCCAGTGCACGGACGTTCCTCTTAGCACGGACGTCCTTGAGGACAGGCAAGAGGAGTTCCAATGCACGGACGTTCCTCTTAGCACAGATGTACTTGAGAACAGGCAAGAGGGGTTCCAGTGCTTTGCTGCTGCTTTACCTCATCTCGTGTCCACGCTGATTGCCCCAAAGGGAGACCTGGATGCACCAGACATCCCGACTCCTCGATCGTACGCTGAGGCGATCGAGGGTCCCTCCTCCTCACTGTGGCAGTCAGCCATGGACGCAGAGATGGCTTCCTAGAAGTCCACAGGCACCTAGGTTGACGAGGTTCCCCCACCTGGGGCGAATATTGTCAGTGGCATGTTGATTTTCAGGGTGAAGCGGCCGCCGGGTTCTCCGCCTGTCTTCAAGGCGCGTTACATGGCTCAAGGCTTCAGTCATCGGCAGGGAGTTGACTACTTTAAGACCTTCTCTCCCACCCCGAAGATGACCACTCTTCGGGTGCTGCTAGACATAGCCGCTCAGCGCGACTACGAGCTTCACTCTCTTGACTTCAGCACTACTTTCCTGCAAGGCAGCCAGCACGAGGAGATCTAGCCGCGCCGCCCACCTGGCTTCACTGGGTCGTTTCCTCTTGGTACCCAGTGGAGCCTCCGGCGGCCAGTCTTTGGTCTCCGCCAGGCGCCCCGTGAGTGGCACGACACACTAAGGACTACACTTGCGGCTCTTGAGTTTGCTCCTTCTACAGCCAACCCATCGCTGTTTCTGCGCACCGACACCTCTTTGCCCCTGGTCTACATCCTCGTGTACTTCGATGACTTGGTCTTTGCCACTGCTGACACTGCTGGACCCACCCACGTGAAGTCCGAGCTGTAGAAGAGACACACATGCACAAACCTGGGTGAACTGCGCAGCTACCTTGGCTTGCAGATCATCCGGGACAGAGCACAGCGCACCATTACCCTGACTCAGTCACACATAGTGCAGCAGGTCCTTCTGCGCTTCGACTTCACGTGCTCCTTACCTTAGGCCACTCCTCTGTCTACTCGCCACTCTCTTTCAGCTCTACCTTTGGATGAGTCCGTAGAGCCGAGTGGCCCGTACCCAGAGCTTGTTGGCTGCCTCATGTACCTAATGACCTGCACACGACCTGACCTTGCATACCCTCTTAGCATCTTTGCACGCTATGTTGCTTCTGGGAGACACCGACCAGAGCACATGGCTACAGCGAAGAGGGTGTTGCGCTACTTGTGCAGTACGTCGGGCATGGGGCTAGTGCTTGGAGGGCGACGTTGAGTGGTCGTCACAAGTCAGGCTGACGCTTCTTGGGCTGACGACCAGGCTACGCAGCGGTCGTCACAGGGTTACACCTTCAGCCTTGGTTCTGGCTCTGTTTCGTGGCGGTCTATCCGCTCGTCTTCTTTTCTCAGCTCCTGTTGTGAGGCTGAGATCTACGCAGGGGCCATGGCTGCACAGGAGCTATGCTGGCCCACCTACCTGCTGACTGACCTAGGAGAGCCGCCTCGTTCTCCTCCAGTTCTGTACATAGACAACAAGGCCATGCTGGCCTTGTGTGAGGAGCACAGATTGGAGCACAGAACAAAGCACATTGCTCTTCGCTACTTCCTTGCGCGTGAGCTGCAGCAGCGTGGTCAGCTGCGCCTTGCGTAGGTGGCCCCTGAGGCCAACACTGCTGATATCTTTACCAAGGCACTTCCGCCTGGTGATCATCAGCGCTTCTGTACGATGCTAGGTCTTGTGCCTACTTGGCCTCACTTCCTCACTTCTTGACCTTGCTTGTATTGTGATCTTTCTATACCTGCACTTGCCTGTTTACCTTTTTGTATGATCTTGCATGTTAACTGGCCTTTTGGCCTTGCTCTTGTGCTCGGATTGTGTGGTGACGTTGTGATCCACCCTGAGTTTGCTTTGCTTTGCTTGACTGGACTTGTGATATCTTCTTCTCCCCTGCTTTGCCTATGGGGGTGTGTCGAACTTATATGCTTTAGTCTGTGTAGGCTGTAGTGGGGTAGACTATATGGGATACAACATTTCTAGGTTTTGCTACTTGTACCCTCCTCTTACCTTCTTCATTCATTCCTCATTTCTT